GACGCTACGGGGTCACCACAGACTGCTCTAAGCTTCCATCGAACAACCACTCTTGTTGAAGTTCTTAGACACCATGCCAACAGTAAAATAGCTTCTACTACCCGGATCCCCGGTCAAAACTAGGTAAGCTATATATTTACCCGGTCTGTATTAAAGAAAAATACACCAACGCGGCCGGTAAATGCTCAGAAAAATTAAAAGGACACATTTAAAAACAGACCAATTCAACCTTTTTGTCGGACGACTTCATCCATGCCAATATTAAAGTCTACTTCACTTTAAATTATGAGAAAAGGAGAGAGCAGGAAAAAGGCGAAAAATGCTTACGCAGACTTCTTTAGGCAACTTCGACTGCACTTTTTCTGCATCTTTTCCTTTCTTAGTCTCTTCCACCTCCTCCTCAGGCTCGTCGTCCTAAATGACAGGCGGAGAGGGTTAGACCCAAGATAACTCACCCCAAAGTCTTGTTCAATCATGTCGTAGAGGCCCTGCTTCTTGACAAAGTTACTCCTCGACTCCCAGCTATTCCTAGTCTTTTCATAAAACTTCTTTTTAAAGGCGGCTATCGCCGCCTGTAAATTTAATCCGTAGGGTGTGAGCGAGGTCTGGGCTGTCTTGCCAACGCGGCCCCAGCGGAACCACACAGAGTAGATGGCAGCATTGTCATCCTCCAGCACCTGGCCCGTGTAGTACTTGTTGTTGTTGTTCTGCAAGTTCGTCTGAATGGCGGAAGGGTGAGGATAAACTCTCTCTGGGTGGAAAAAGGGAGCATACCTGATTCAGCATAAAGTGAAAGACCTCATGTTGGTTGAAGTACACGTGGGATGTGTCCTTCTTTGCGAAGCACTGGGAGTCCACTGGCACCTTGCCCTTGATCAAAATGGAAGTTTTGTCTGGAGGGAAAGACTATCCACAGAAATGGACTTACTGGCTGACGCATCAGCACTGTCCGCAACGTCATCCGCTTTCGCCTTCTTCCCTAAAATGTAAACATTCGAGAGCTGTGCCATCAACACCAACAGGCTTTTATGAAGGCTCGACATATGCAGAGTGCGGTCGGAATTGCATGAAAAATGTCGAAATTTGCGAAAGATTGAAAGTCACTCACAAACCGGCACTAATGCATATGCGAAAACTTTTAAATAATAATGAACAACCTTGCGCGAATTTGTCACTTAAAAGAAGAATAAAAAGTATTAACTGTTTGTTAAGAAAAGTAAATTATACTTAACAATGCTCAAATTCCGCGGATGTAAAAATAGGTATGAATAGCTATAAAATCAGGTAAAATGCCATTTTCTTTGTACCAAAAGAACTTTTTCGTCAGATTCCTTTGTAGATATTTGAAGTGTTGAATTAAAATAACTTTAAGGTCTGCCTTTAAATTTCGGCAAATTTTCGACCATAAATGTATATTCTGTTCGACGTTGATATCAAAACGTTGTTTCTGAACACTCACCGACCACTAACGGAACTCACTTGTCCTGCTCTGCCTTGGGTCTCATTTCTCGGGACCTGCCAGCAACCGTAGCGATTAGTAGTCTATGCAGATATTATTGCCAGCAAAGACAAGGGAGACTAGACTGGCTAATTCGGAGTTATAAGCCATCGCCAGCCAGTCATAGTCTACCCCAAGTGGTGCATAACTTGAGATTCGAACTCGCAACCTTTTTCATCAGAGTCTAACGCTCTAACTGTTGGGTCAGGAGCTCATTGTCTTGTCACTTTAGATCGGGAAATATTGACAGCCGTTGATGGATTATAATTAATCAAGACGGCTGAAAGTGGCTTTAAAGTAATGGAACGAGGACAAATTTCGTCCTATACGCAAGAGATATCACTTAGGAAAGAACATGCGGAGGAAATTCAAATACTTTTCATCTCATATTGTTTCGGGAAACAGTAATGATACCGGCATTAATTTGTGGAAAATCGCAGCAAGTCCTTTTTAACTGACAACTCATGGCGATGCGTTAAGTAATAGTCCGCTCATCCTCGGCCCATTTTATTCGGGAATAAAGTTCTATTTTATTTAAGTCCATAAATAAACTCTAAATAGCCAACGTCAAAGAATTTTTCGGGAAAAAAACGCACCGGTGGAAAAAAATTGCGATTCATTTTAATATGGTTGTTCTAATAATAATAGTAATAATAGCCTGAATATAGCGGCTCCTCTGGAAGAAGACTCGGGATACGACGGACAGCGGAATATTTCCAAGTCTTCAGACTAAACTGCCTCAGAAATCGATAAATAAAATAGTACACATTTGAAGCAAGTGGCAACGGCAGAATTTATTTGTAGAAATAAATTCTGCCGTTGTCGCTTAGTTCAAATTTGTACCCGTGAAACAATGCTGTAAAAATGATATACCTTGGCAGCACAAAAGGGCACTGACACTTTCATCTGTTGTTTATGTTCCCGTTGTCTCTAAGGAAACAGTTCCCGGTGAATACACGGAACGAAAGTGCCTCCAATCTTACAGCGCGCAGGTGGAGAAATGTGAAAGCTAAATATCGAAATTCGAAGAATTTTTAGGCCGAAGGGTTTTGTCCAACAGCGCGAAATTCAGTAGCTGGCATAATTTACAGTATAATCAACTTTTCTAAGTCTGTTCATGTCCATTTTTAGATTCAGTATACATTAATGCATTCCTTGACTTGTAGACTAATCTGTCAAATTGTATCTTCAGTGCATTCTTATTTAGAGGACTTTAGATGTTGCTGTATTGATTACTTCGGATTTTGCGCGAAGTGTTGCATATTCTGCAACTTCGGGCGCCTACTCTAAGTTCATGATATCCTAAGTGTGCACAGAACCATTAAGCGAGTTTTAACTTGCAGAATGCGGTTTTGAAAGCAGCAGCTAGGATTCACGATGTTCCACTTTCCACAGGGAGATCTTTACGCCAGTTGCAACATGGCATGCATCGCTCGGACAGCTGGTAAACATGACAATTTTTAGACGATAGTTATGTGAGAATATTTCGCGATATTGAGATCGAAAAAGGCTGTTCATGTTCGATAGTATGACCAAAACTGTCTTCAAATGAGGGATAAAGTAGTAAACTGCTTGTCATGTCCGTCGACAATTTAGCTTGAAAGTACCCTACATTCAGAACCATTGAGATCGAAAAAGGCTGTTTATCTTCAATAAAACTGCCTGTAATGTCTGTCGGTAATTTAG